ATGTTTTGCCGAAGATACACAAAGAAAGAGAACCATTAAGACTAATAATCAACAATAAACATGGACCGACACAGAAATTGGCCAAATTTATCTGCCTAAAATTAAAGAAAGATTATAGAATACAGTGAAGAACTCATACGAATTTTGCCAAAGAACTAACTTTTGGTAAGCTTTGATGTGCATACCATGTACACTAACATCACAAGAGAAAAAGCACTTGCGGCACTACTAGAGATGTTGGAAAAAGAAAATGACATCCTGGAGACGGAGCGAATCCTCAACGAGTCTCTAACCCGATTGATCAACTCAAAAGTAAGAACGGCCTATTCCACATTCAACGGCCGCATCTATGAGCAAATATTTGGTCTGTTTATCGGCTCTCAACTTTCAACTCTATTGGCTAATGTCTTCATTGACAAGTGTAAGGAGAATTTTGAAATTTCGCCTCGGCAACCAACAGTAATTATGCGATATTTGGATGACTACTTTGCAATTTGGTCTCCTAGAAGAGAAAAATTAGACGATTTCCTTATCTTCATAAACGAAATGGATGAAAAGTCAAATTCACTGTGGATGTGGAAGAGAACGGACACTTACCGTTCTTTAATGTGGAGGACATTTGCTCCAAGAAAACTCTCAAGAAGAAACTTTTCTGAATAACTCATAACTTCCAGTCGACCCATACTTATGGGAGGAAGATTGGAATACTCCGAAGTATGATCATAAGAAGCTTAAGACCGACTGATTCTGAGTTCTAGACAGAGAAACTCGGAAAACTAACGCAGATGCTTCTTGGAAACGGATTTACAGAAGGAGCAATACAACGCAACGTACGGATGGTGATTAATAGATGGAAGGACGGAGATTATCAAAGGAAATGAAGAGGAGCAGAAGAAAGTCAACTGTCTGATGCTGGGAATCATGACAACTATTATGGCAGACGACTTTGGACTCGGTGGGTTCTACTAAGTCCCCCTGACAACAAGACCAAGTTGCGTTGAGGTAAACCCACTTCTATAAATCGAAAGGAGACTGCGACCATAGCAGAGGCCACAACATCTTGGTCTTCATATCTTCAAGTAAACTACGGTAGTAAAATTGCCAAACAATACACTGAATACAGCCGGACAAAGAAGACAATTCTTGGTGCGGCGAATGGCAAAACTCACTGATTATGCCGACTATGATGCCGGCGAAACGTTTGAGAATGTACCAAGTCCACTGTCTGATGCTGGGAATCATGATTACTATGGCAGACGACTTCGGATTAGGTGCGTTCTACTAAGTCTCCCTGACAACAAGACCAAGGTTCGACAACGAGGTCAACCCATTTCAACAGTAATTATGCTATATTTGAATGAGCACTTCGCAATTTGGTCTCCTAAAAGGGAATAATAGACGATTTCCTCATTTTCATAAACGAAATGGATGAAAAGTCAAATTTACTATGGATGTGGAAGAGAACGGACACTTAACGTTCTTTAATGTGGAGGTCATTTGCTCCAAGGAAACTCTTTAGAAAATACTTTTCTGAATAACTCCTAACTTCCAGTCGACCCATACTTATGGGATGAAGATTGGAATACTCCGGAGTATGATCATAAGAAGCTTACGATTGACTGATTCTGAGTTCTGGGAAGAGAAAATGGGAAAACTAACGCAGATATTTCTTGGAAATGGATTTACAGAATGAGCAATACAACGCAACGTACGGATGGTGATGAATAGAAGGAAGGACGGAGATTAGGAAAGGAAAGGAAGAGGAGCAGAAGAAAGTCCACTGTCTGGCGCTGGTAATCATGACAACTACTATGGCAGATGACTTCGGACTAGGTGCGTTCTACTAAGTCGCCCTGACAACAAGACCAAGTTGCGACAAGGAGGTCAACCCATTTCAACAGTAATTATGCTATATTTAAATGACTACTTCGCAATTTGGTCTTCTAGAAGAGAACAATTAGATGATTTCCTCATCTTCATAAACGAAATGGATAAAAAGTCAGATTTACTATGGAGGTGGAAGAGAATGGACACTTACCGTTCTTTAATGTGGAGGTCATTTGCTCCAAGGAAACTCTCAAGAAGAGACTTTTCTAAATAACTCCTAACTCCAATCGACCAGAAGTATGATCATAAGAAGCTTACGACCGACTGATTCTGAGTTCTGGGAAGAGAAAATGGGAAAACTAACGCAGATATTTCTTTGAAACGGATTTACAGGAGGAGCAATACAACGCAACGTACGAATGGTGATTAATAGATGGAAGGACGGAGATTATGAAAGAAAAGAAAGAGGAGCAGAAGAAAAATTATGGATATGTCTACCCTCCTGTGAAATGGCTCGGAAGCTACGGCTAATACTAAGGAAATGGAAGATTCGGAAGGGACAACCCTTTTCACTAGCTTGCCCCCACAACATGAAGAAGTCAACAAAATAAAGTGCTTCGGAGTTTACAGAATAGATTGTAGGTACTGTAAATAAAGATATATCGGACAGACAAGATGGACAATCAACTCAAGGATCAAAGAACACCAGCGGTTATACAGAAAAATGGATACGGAAAGATCGGAGAATGCAGAACACATCGCCATTGCCGACCACACAATTGACTGGAATGCAACAGAAAGACTGACCTCATGTGGAGAAAACGCCAGGAAACGGAAGATCAGGGAGGATGTGGACATCCTATTCCAAAGAAACTTGATGAACAGGTAATTTGAAGAGGGAAGAGTCAGCGATAATTTTGCGTACTGCCTGGGCAGACTTTGAGAATCAGCGAAAGCATAAAAAAGAATAGGCTTAGAGTCAGGACAACTGTTCAACATCTGGACGAGACATTGCCAAGGAGCGGCTCATGATGAACAAAGGGAGGTCAAGAAAAGTCGGCTGCAGTGAGAGGAGTCAGATGTGGAATTGGCTAAAAATATCTACTCAGTGGGTTCACCTGTGAGGAGATGTAGGATATGAAATCAAAGGCTGAAGGTATATGTGGGCTAGATAGAGGTCACCATTGTGTGCGCGTAAGTGTCGTGTGTCTTTTTCGTGTATGTGTCTGAAGGGGAGGTGATTGGTGATATACTTGACCACGGGGGATACCAGCCAACACAGACAAAGACAGAAACATCATCCCAGTACCTTAAAATTAGGTGGTAATGTCAACTTGAGAGATGAAATGAGTGTGTTTTTCGCGATCCAAGGCCAAAAGAATGCGACACAATACGGGTGGGGATGAGGGAGAGGATACTCGAGTCATGGGTTTGAAGCCTAGGGAGCAGAAGAGCCCCTGGCACTGGCATGTGCATGGGCATTGTCTGCTCTAAATCCTCGAATATGGCGTAATCGAGGACGGGAATGGAAGGTTCTTAGACAGCCAGATTTCAGACAGATAAACAATGAAGTTGTTGAAGATATGAAGATCAAGATTGTGGGGCCACTGGTATGGTCGCAGTCTCCTTTAAACCTCGTTGTCGCAACTTGGTCTTGTTGTCAGAGTGACTACAGTAGAACGCACCTAGTACGAAGTCGTCTGACGTAGTAGTTGTCATGATTCCCAGCATCAGACAGTGGACTTGGTACATTGTCAAACGTTTCGCCGGCATCGTAGTCGGCATCATCAGAGCGTTCTACTAAGTCTCCAAAACGCACTGATGATGTCGACTACGATGCCGGTGAAACGTTTTGAGAATGTACCAAGTCCACTGTCTGATGCTGGGACTTACGACTTTTACTAAGTCGCCCTGACAACAAGACCGAGTGATGTTGTTGTTTAGCCGCGGCCAAATGGCAAGCGTGTAGGAAAAAATGGGGTGCAGAATGTAGGCCAGGAGCCCTGCAAGCGGCATCTGGTACCAGTGGTGGAGAGGATTACGCTTTACTAAGCCCACTTGCAGCGACACACTCTTAGGCGACGTTGGAGGAAACTAGAGCACAGAATTGTGTGAATAGGTGGATCGGCCATTTGAAGTGGGGTTGAGAGAAAGAGATGCGGCACTAGAGAGAAGAATACAAAATGGGGGCGTTGAGTGATGCCACAACGGTTGAACGGAAGATTGATCACTGATAATTTGTAACCGTGTCGCCTCTCATTGACGATGCCGGCGAAACGTTTAGGAATGTAACCAGCCAATGGTCTAATGCTGGCAATCTCGAATATTGTGGCAGAGGACACGGGACTAGGTACGTTCGACACGGTCACCCTGACGCTCCGACCAAGTTGTGAAAACAATGTCGAACCAACACTATACAGCTAAAGGAGACTGCGATTAAAATTAGAATTATTTTGAATAAAAGTCTGTCACTAGGTGATTCATATATTCATTCCAACGGAATTTTCCGCCCAGTTGCCTATTGTTTATATTCACATCTCCTGATTAGTGCTGTCCGAATGGCAACCTCTTTTGGCTTTGGTGGAAATATACTATGCTTTTGAAGATATGAATACCAAGATGTTGTGGCCTCTGGTATGGTCGCAGTCTCCTTTCGATTTATAGAAGTGGGTTGACCTCGTAGTCGCAACTTGGTCTTGTTGTCAGGGTGACTATGTAGAACGCACATAGTTCGAAGTCGTCTGCCATAGTAGTTGTCATGATTCCCAGCATCAGACAGTGGACTTGATACATTCTCAAACGGTTCGCCGGCATCGTAGTCGGCATCATCAGTGAGTTTTGCCATTCGCCGCACCAAGCTACGAACTCGTCAGTCGCAGGCATCGAAGTCGGCATCATCAGTTAGCTTTGCCATTCCCCGCACCAAGATAAAAAAACTTGTCAAAGATAGTCAAATAGAGTCTTGTCTCTTTGACGAGTTCGTTTCTTGGTGTGGAGAATGGCAAAGCTCACTGACGATGCCGACTTCGATGTCGGCAAAAAGTTTGAGAATGTATCAACTCCACTGTCAGATGCTGGGAATCATGACAACTAATATGGCAGACGACTTCGGACTAGGGGCGTTCTACATAGTCTGCCTGAAAACAAGACCAAGTTGCGGCAACGAGGTCAACCCACTTCTATAATATGCTTTTGTCTTTCATTTCACGTCAGCTGGGAACCATTCTTATAGATAATTCCAACCAACCAACCAAGAAAATGCACCTCTAAGCTCGTGCATTTTTTATGTGGTTTAAAGTAATTTGGTTCAGTTATATCCAATCTTAATCTAAAATGTGTGAATATGTTTGCTTGTGTCTGCGTGCGTTGGTGCATGTGTGCCTCATTATATCTGTCCTCGTCATCACTCCACTTCGATAGTACAGTAGATGTGTCGGGGAAGGTTGCTGAGCATTTTACACTAATTTGAAAATAGAAAAAGAGCGACTATACTACGAATCATAACCAAAAAAAGAAGTTGGCTTGGAATATTTTTAATACTGCTGCCCATTTCTGAAGTCTGTCAATTGACATAATTGATAAGGCCTAACTTATTTTCAAATAATAACGTAGTCACCCTAGGTCGCGTAAACTGATTTAAGAAAATTTATTCGACTTTTCACATAATTAGATCAATAGCTCTCTCCCAATTGACAACCGTAGTTGGAGTATCATTTAAAAAAACATGTAGTGGCCACTGAAATCAACGATGTTACTTGTTTTTTTGTATAAGTAGGCTTCGTTGCTTATAATTCTTATTATAATATAATGCATATTAAATAAATTAATAGGTAACTGAATACATAAATATATATATATATATACTTGTAGAAAAAACAAGTAAAATCGTCGTAAATTTACGATACAAGTAGACTTCTAGACCGTCAGTAATATATACATATTTATTTATTTATTTATTTTTCCAATAAAAGTAATTTTTGAGATCAAAGTCTTATTTTGGAAAAACTCAATTCGTTTTAAGTGAATCAGATCCTTCGATTTCTGGAGCAGGAACTAGTTGATATAAGATGACATATATATATTTTTTGGTTGTTGTATCGCAAAGAGTTTGTCTAGAGGACAGCTTGAAACAGAACTTTCTGGTACATAACTGACGACTAGCCAAAAGGAATGTGCTGTTAACTTCATCACAGATTTCCCCTCGAAATAGAAGCGAGTTCAACAATTGTGCATGATAGGATAGCCGACTGAGAGAGCATGTATACAAACGAGGCCTCGACACAAACATCGAAATATACCCCTTCTTGAACAGTTTGTTGCCAACGTACCTTTCATTTCGCTTAAAAAGCCCGGTTTAAGGGACTCGCATCTCGGCCTTATCTGACACCAGAGAAGGATTACCCTAAATTTGTGATGACTGGATTGTGGCAAGAAGACCTCAGCTCACCGTCCTGCAACCACGATGCATCTGTACTTAGCTTCCATCTGTCATGTGACTCACATCGCCAGAGCCAAAAACCAACATTTACGAAAAATTAGCCCAAAATACAAATTGCAGCAAAGGTGTTTCTGGGCAATTTTTCCCAACTGATGGTTTCAGTTTTTGATACTCTGCGTCATATGATGGATGGAGGCTCATTACAGAAAAGAATCCTTTTCAATCGTCTTTTAAACGACACGAAATGTGTGCCATTATCAAGTATGCAATTCTCTGCCCTCAGAGCTCAGCTTACAGTTCGTCTCTTTTTTACTCATCCTCCTTTAGGAGCCTCAAACTTACCGAAGCCCAGCTTCGACACGACGTCTTGTGCTGTCATTCGCTCGAATCTACAGGACCAGCTAACCGACTCATCCATGCTTCTGAGCCTTCCAAGTAAACCGGAAGCTCCACATTACCCGAACTTTGGCAAATCAAGCACTACCGGGCTTCCTCCTCTATTACCCACGGCAATCACACTTCCTATCACTTCACCTACCACTTACTCCACCACAAACACCACCACCACCACCACTAACAACAGTAACAACAATAACAGCAGCAGCAGCAACAACAACAACACCATCAACGGCACCAAGAGTTCTAGCGATCCGACTGTCAGCGTTTCTACGACCATCATTGAACTAATACCTACGATTGGGAACAAGCCATGCGCCCAGGATCAATTGGCTCTCTTGACTTCAGATCAGAAAGACGCCATGACTACCGGATCTGCCATGTCTACGAACCTTTGCCTCGGTCAACTTCCAGGACCGAGCAATCCTATATCTACTACTGCCGTTGTAGCTGCCAACGACCTAAGCAGACCAACAGTCGGACGGGAGAGAAAGACATCGTCACTAACGCTGAACAACCTTACACCATCGGCCTCCTCCATTCGCCCAAATCAGGGCCAAAGTCGAGCCGATTCTGCTCCAATTGGCTATGCCCAGCTGATGTCAAGTCGACGACTGATCCTAGCACCAACTGACAAACGGGAAGTTGACACGTTGACATTAGAGGCTGCCGGCAAGAAGGATGGGCAATCGTGTGATGAATGGCGAGAGGGCAATGATAAAAGCCAAACTATCAATTATCCGAACCCTGTACCGAGTATAGAGCATACGGAAAAAATGGCTCAGACTTCAGGTAGGCAGGCTCCGAGTGTCAATTATGATGAAGAATTTATATGCGAAGAAAAGTTGGGATTCGAAAAGTCTCTTGTTCCATAAATGTTGAGCTTACTGCCATTTCGAGTGAAAGTGTTGGGTGAAGAGATTCGAAGGTCGGTTGCACCAGAAGACGAGAACAGATTCCACTTGACCAGCTGCCGATTGGCCTTAGTAGAACATTCTTGTTGACACTATCTCTGAGGTAACCACCTTCGATTCCGGTGAAAACGTGCTAAGGTTTCGTCCGTCATATGACGAACATCATCAGAGCCAGAAAAACTCTCCGGCTCATCCAGAAAAAGCTGTATATATATACTCTTCATTTAACCAATTTGATGAAGCATAAAGTGATTTGATTAGTTCCAGTCATATGTTAACCTCGAAGCATATAAATGTGTTTTTATTTATGTGTGTATGTGCCTGTATGTGATCGCATATGTAAGAAACCAGTAGTCAAGTCTCAAAGTAACTAGGACAGCAAAAGTGACGTCATCAAGGCTTAATGACCACCATCACTCCCTTTATATATATATTTATATATATATGTTTTAAACATCATTCCGATTGGGCAAGGTCAGACAGACGTCTGGTTATGTTGATGAGACCCTTTTTTCTCTTCATATGAGAGAAAAAGAGTGAGCTAAAAGTACAGAGAAGGGAGTATGATTAGAGCCAAGACAAGAAAAGTATTAATGAGATGTATTCACCCTATTTCGTGTAAGGTGATGAAGGACTGGTAGTAGAATTTTCCCACAATGATTATCAGTGTGATGAGATGTATTCACCCTATTTCGTGTAAGGTGATGAAGGACTGGTAGTAGAATTTTCCCACAATGATATGAATTAGAGCTGACGTTTCCATTCAATTTCAAATTGCCTTGCTTTCCCAACACCCTGGATGAGAACACCTTTTGGGTGCTGACTTTTCCATTGAATTTCACATAGCCTTGCTTTCCCAAAAGTTGTTCTCATCCTGGGTGGACTGCGCGTTTTCCATTGAATTTCACATAGCCTTGCTTTCCCAAAAGTTGTTCTAATCCTGGGTGGACTGCAGTTTCCTTCCATTGAATTTCACATAGCCTTGCTTTCCCAAAAGTTGTTCTCATTCAGGCACCAGTGGACTGCAGGTCTCCATTGAATTTCACATAGCCTTGCTTTCCCAAAAGTTGTTCTCATCCCGGCTTGAGTGGACTGCAGTACCATTGAATTTTCACATAGCTTTACTTTCCCAAAAGTTGTTCTCATCCTGGGTGGACTGCAGTTTCGACCTCGCATTGGACATTGAATTTCACATAGCCTTGCTTTCCCAAAAGTTATTCTCATCCTGGGTGGACTGAAGTTTCGACCTCGCATTAAATTTCACATAGCCTTGCTTTCCCAAAAGTTGTTTTCATCCTGGGTGGACTGCGGTTTCGGCCTCGCAGTGGCCTCATCAACACCCTCAGCGGGATTCGAACCGCGACAGTGCAGGGCGGTAGCTTGACACGCTAACCACTCGGCT